TCTCCCTCCCTCCCTTCTCTCACACACATACATACAAACACAGTTGAAAGTCCGACGAAACAATCTGGCACAGTCGTGCCTTTTTTTTTCCTTCTTTTTTCGTTTTGGTTGTGAAAGGACGCGGCGACGGCCTTAGGATGTTATCGTGGAACTGACCGGCCTCAAGTAAATCAGAAATCAGAAATTCATTCAACAGGCCCCATCTGGATTCGAAATACCGTCTTCACCCGAATAGAACGCCCGGTCATTTATTATGGTGGCGGCATCTGGACCGAAAGTTGTGCCAAATACAGCAGCAGCTGTAATGACCGGGCGTTCTATTCGGTTGAAAACGGTAGGGGTCTGTGTATTTCAACAGTTCATGGGTGTGTGTACCCACTCCCACTGAGCTAGGTCCGTTGGTCAGTCATGCTCTCGCTGTGGAATTGTGTACAGCGAACATGACAGCACACATACAGATGTTCCGATGTGTGAGAGACACTCAGTGACAGCGACAGATACAACCAAGTACACAACACTTGCAATCAACAAGCACACACTACTTGCAATGAACAAGCACACACTACTTGCAATCGACAAGCACACACTTGCAGTCATCACGTAGCACAAAGAAACTCAGTATACAAAGCACTTGAAACAGTACAAAGTACTGGAATTGCATGTCCAGGTGGGTAATGGCTTCCCCACGAAAAGGAGAAGAAGAGGAAAGAAGAAGAAGACCGCTAATGTGGGGTTGGAGAGGGGTAGGGGTAGGGGGAGGTGGCGAGTGACTGGCCAAAGATGCTCGGCACACTGGTAGCATCGCCGGTTTCCCCCGTCGGCAATGCCTGATCATCGTGATGAGGGGGTGATACACGCCTTGCGCTGCGCACCACTGCTGTGGTGCCAACCTACCCCGTGGGCCCACGGGGTAGTACGGGAGAGTTCCAGGTTTGGTTGGTTGGTGTTCCCCCGTACTCTATACATAGACTAGCGAGAGGATGAAATAGATGAGGAAAAAAGAATATAGATATATAATATATATAAATATATATAAGAAGAAGATTGAGAGAAGAATATGGATTTTAAAAGTTTTGATTGATTTATTTATTTTTTAAGAAAAGAAGAGAAAGGGGAAAAAAAAAACACGCTTGTTGAGTCAAATAAATGCTAGACTGGTGCAATATAATTGAGATGTGCATTTCGGGAAAAGAAAGAAAAAGAAGAAGATGCTGGACTGATCTTTGTGACAATATATATTTTGCGCTCAGAAGAATATGGATTTTTTTAATTTTTGATTGATCTGTTTATTTTTTGAGAAGAAGAAGAGAAAGGAAAAAAAAAAAACACGGTTGTTGAGTCAAATAAATGCTAGACTGGTGCAATATAATTGAGATGTGCGTTTCGGAAAAAAAAAGAAAAAGAAGAAGATGCTGGACTGGTCTTTGGACACTTGTGGTCAAGTGAAACCTGTGAGATTAACGGCGTAACTGTATGCCCGCGAATAGAACGCCCACAGAGTAAGTCTCTGACTACTTGGAATCTGACTGGATACTTGACCAAGTTCATGCATGCGTCGATAAGCGTTTTCTGGTAGTAAGACGAAGGGCCTCGCCGCACTACTAACCAACCCACAATGTATAAAATGAAGAATGTATCTTCCGCTACAACTTGGCAATGTACACCCGCCATAATTTTGTCTTTTTCAAGGTTGGTGAATGGTGCGGCGAGGCCCTAATGGACTTTTGTATGTATATGCTTTTGTCCCTCATCCTTCCTTCTTCCCCCTTTGTTTTTTTTCCTTTCGTCCTTTCTTTACTCAATTTCCCTTTGTGCCACCTCCCCCCCTCTCCCCCCCCTCCCCCCTCCCCCTGCCCCCAAAAGGAAAAAGAAAAAGTCCCCCAGTTGATTGGGCGCGGTCTCCGCGTAGAGTGGAACGAGTGGTCGCGGGTGAATTGTGGGTGAACGAACGAGATTGGCTGAATATTGCTAATCTATGGGCATTGATGGAACAAAAGCAATACAGTGAATCAATCAATCAATCAATTAACCAATGGATGGCTAATTATCCTCGGTTGTAGATCTGCATTTAGGATTGATTGTCATGTATTGCACTGCTCGTCTAATTGCTCAATTGATGAATCTTGGGAAAGATTCAATGGAACGATCAATGCAGGGTGGGATGAATGAACCCATCAAAGCAATCAGTGAAACAATGTAAGTCCAATCAATCAATCCGTCCCATCCATCCATCCATCCATCCATCCATCCATCTATCTACCCATCGATTAATCAATCAATCTTTTAGCAGATCAAACACCCAACCTTTAACCTGGTCAATCAAAATCCATATAATCAGTCCAATCAATCAATCAATCAATCAATCAATCAATCAATCAATCCATCAATCCCTTAGCAGCAGATAGATCACCCAAACTTTAAGCCGGTTAACCACTTCACCAAGCAGCCATTAAACCAACCAATCAACCATTAAACCAACCAATCAACCAATCAATCAATCAATCAATCAATCAATCAATTAATCAAGCAATCAATCAAATGAATGAATGATTGGATCATTAATCAATTAGTCAATCAATCGATCAATCAATCAATCAATCTTGGAAACGGATGAGTGAATGAGTGAAAGAATGAAAACCAATCAATCAATCAGTGAATCAATCAATCACAACGTAAGCCAATCATGCAAACCTGACTCAATGTCAACCAATCAACTGACCCGCTGATCGTTCCATCAACCAACCAATGAATCATTGAATGTCAGCCTATCAATCGATCAAACTGAGCATTCGCTGAAACGGTCTGGGTAAGGGATGAAGCCTTATGTTTGAGTATTCGCTGAAACGGTCTGGGTAAGGGATGAAGCCTTATGTTTGTCCGTCGAACACATCCATGATCGATGGACGGAGCAAAGCGTTCATCCCTTCCTCCAAATGCTCGTGAATATATAATCATCGATTATGGGGCTCGCTGCACCACACCAAATGTGCAAAACCGAGAATGTATCTTCCGCTAGAACGTGGAAAGATACACCCCCATCCTTTTTGCCTTTTCACAATTTTTTGGTGAGTGGTGCGGCGAGGCTGTACGTCCATGATGGACTCCATCACACACACACACACACACACACACACACACACACAGAGAGAGAGAGAGAGAGAGAGGAGATCTCTCTCTCCCTTTCTCTCCGTCTCTTTGCATCCACCAATTAGGCTGTACCGAATCAATCAAGGCATAGAGAGGACACTGCGCTTGCGTTGTCTTGGCCATTTGCTGGTATTAGCGAAGGCGGCCGCCGCCATTTCTATTATTGTTTTTTTGTTTCGATCATTGGGTTAGCCTCGTGAATGTATCGACGGATCATGAATGTCTACAAGCCATTTTTCCGGCTCGATACATTCATGAAGCTAACCCAACTTCCGGATCATGAGTGTCTCTACTAGCTATTTTCACGGTCCGATGGATTCATGATCGGTAAACCCAATGAAGGTTGATCGGTATCGTTCTGCAATAGTCGAGTCCAGAAGAGGAAAAGAACTTGAAAAGAGAGGAAGAATTTTCAAGAAAACTTGAAAGAGAGGAAAAAAACTTGAAAAGAGGAAATGGCATTTTTGTTGTTGCTATTTTAGTAACTGTTGTACTATTCGACTCTTTGGGTTGTTTTGCTGTTTTACAATTTGCTTGTTGCACCCGTGTGTGTTTTCATGTATCGAATTTTTGTCCACGGAAGGAGCTCCACGGCAGCTTGTCGGTTGGGAAGCGGAAAGGTTGGATAGGTCAACCCCCCCAATGGTCTAACAAAAGCTGCCTGTTTTGTCCTTCTCCTCTGATCATATTCCCCACTACCTGTTTCACGGAACTTAACTTTCACGGCAATTTCACCATACTCTTTGTCTCTCCCCTTCCTGCCCGGATGGTTCCTCGCCTGTCTCTTATACACATCTAGATGTGTATAAGAGACAGTCACAACTTTGACCCATCGCCAACAGCGACGCCCCTCGCGCATCCTGCGCTTGACGAACGACGCCTCTCGGGGACATCCTGCCCTTGATAACTGCNCCCCCCCCCAACACACACACACACACACACACACACACACACACACACACACACACACACACACACACACACACACACACACACTCAAACCACCAGGCCGGGAACCCCACCCTTGTCAGGCTATCATTCTTGTTGAACACTGCATGTGCCATGTGGCGGCTTTCCACCTGAACCCTCCGTTTTCTGTTACAATGCGGTGGTGCTTGCACGCTCCGCCGGGTGCTGCGGTCTGCCTGGCCACATCCCTTTGTCAATCCTCCACTGCGCCTCTGTCCCTTTCTCTGCCTCTGTCTCTGTCTGTGGGTCAGTCCACTTGTCTGTCTGTGTGTATGCGTGTCCGTGCCATCTGACCAGGAACGGTATTGGGAAGAGCATCCTGGGGAGAGGGTGCCGATTCGCAAGCCCTGGGCTTATCTGGGACCCTATCCGGTGCAAAGAGAGGATTTTGCAGAGGAGCCGCGACCTGGTGCCAATGGTGGCGACAGTGGCAGCAAGTAGATGAGGGAGTGCCAGGCCAGGGAAAGCATCCCCTACCACGTATATCTGTTCGACAGGTCTCGTCTTCCCTTCGCTTCTGAAAGGTTCATTTCCTGTGGTACGTGGATACCTTAGGTTGGTGCAATATTGGTCGAAGCCATTGAGCACCCGTCTCCCTCTTTGCACGTGCAGCATTTCATTTCGCCGGAACCTTGCGAGTTGTCTTCTTTTTAAATTCAATTTTGGAAATTTTTGACCGATTTTCGTTATTTGTTTGTCTGTTCGTCTTCTTTTTGTCTAGTTTGGTTGGGCTTGTGTTTGTTTTGTTTTGTTCTGTTCTTTTGTGGTGTTTTACTGTGTTGTGGTGTGGTGCTGTGTGGTCCGGTTTGACGGGGTGTGTTGTATTGTGCTCTGGTATGGTGTGGAGTGAGAGTGTTGTGCTTTTGTTTATGCAAGTGTGTGTGAGTTGTGTGTGTGTGTGTGTGTGTGTGTGTGTGTGTGTGTGTGTGTGTGTGTGTACGTGTGTGTGTTTTGCATGCATACACCCGCATGGATGTATGTGTCCAATGGGAATCGGTACCGTTGTCGCTTAACAGAGCTTGGCTGTATGCTTTGCTGGTCCCTTGGAGCAGGCCCTCACTTAAAACCCCGATGATCTGGCCCCAAGGACGCGGGGTCTCTAACATGTTCAGTAAGATGCTTGTAGAGGGGTCGCCACAGATGGACTGCTACCATTGTGACTGTATGTGACTGTGCTGCGCCTGAAGACCTTATGGCGTTAGGTAGGTGGGTGAAGGAGAGAGGAAGAGATCGGAGGAGAGAAAGAGCAGGGGAAAAGGGGGGGAAACGGGGGAGAGCAGTAAAATAGATGACAAGAGGGAGAGAATAAGAGGAGAGGGCAAGAAGAGAGGTGGATTTGTGGGGTAGAGCCTTAGAGGGGGTCCAACTGTGATCGCCATGTTTTGTTAGGTGGGTGAAGGAGAGAGAGAGGAAGAGAGAGGAGGAGAGAACGAGCAGGGAAGAAGGGGAAGAAACGGGTGAGAGCAGTAAAAAATAGATGAAAAGAGGGAGAGAATAAGGGGGGAGGGCAAGAAGAGAGGCGGATTTTTGGGGTAGTAGAGTGGGTGCGACTGTGATCGCCGTGTTCCCGGTACTGTCCAAGGTTGCCTGTCAAGATCATGGGGCGGCTTTTCTGACAGAATTCAGCTGTGTGTTTGACTACTTTCTGTCAAGATCATGGGACGGCTTGTCTGTCGAGTTCGAGGTGTTCGATCCTAGGTGCCTCCTCTGCTTGTGTCCCTTCCACTAGGTGTTCTGGTCATACTTGGCTCAAAGGATGACTGGCATGGTCTGGAAATCCAGTGCAGTTTGACTGGCAAGATATAGAACTTGCTTGCTGAGCTTTTAGTGAAAGTCTATGGCTGCCAAGATCATGCTTGCTGAGCTGCGGTCGAGTAATGGATTGGGCAATTCCTTCTTGTGCTGAGCTGTTGGTTAAATGATTGACTGGCAATGGCTGGCAGGATCATGCTTCCTTAGCGGTCAGTGACATGATTGATCGGTGAGGCACTATTTGCTGAGCTGTCAGTAAAATGATTGACTGCTGTCTTCACCCGAATAGAACGCCTGGTCTTGATAGATATACTTGGTGCAGCTTTCAGTTTGGATACGGCGATAATGACCGGGTGTTCTATTCGGGTGAAGACGTAGCGAGGGAAGTTGATGGGCGGTGAGATCATTCATCCTGAGCTGTCAGTGAAAGTATGTGGTTGGTGAGGCTGCCCTCTCCTCCGTATCCATTCAGGGGAGCGTCAGTCTGGTTCCTTCTGCACCGGCAAGTCAAATGTTTACATCAATAGGACACTTGTACGCTTCTCCCCAAATTCTGGTTGAGAGACTGGAAGGGCGGTACTGATTTTGGTGAGGCTGTCCTTGTTGAGCTATCAGAGTGTGTGTGTGTGTGTGTACGTGTGTGCATGTGTGTGTGTGTGTGTGTGTGTGTGTGTGTGTGTGTGTGTGTGTGTGTGTGTGTGTGTGTGTGTGTGTG